TTTATTTCTATCAGAAAGTATAGACTGTGAAATCAGCTCGTTAAAAGATGAGTCTTGTTTATATAAACCACTTCACAATGAGTCGCTTTGGCTTTTAGATAAATTGCTGCCTGCTCTCAGGGTGTGGTTACTGTTTTGAATATCTATTTATTTTCTATGTTTATCCCTGATTTTTTAAATTATTAGTATGGCTTCCACTTTGGCAGCTTGATGGGTAATTTTTGAGGTATGAATTTTAAAAATCCTAAATCAACACTGCCAGAAATAATAAAACAGAGGGGGTGAGAAGACGAGGGACAAAATCAGGGCACCTTAAAAATAATTGTAAGCCAAGTAACTTCTAAACAAACTTTAGTACACGATGCACATTTAAATTCACAGAGCATGTTTTGTTCTATATTATTTCTGTAGCAAACAGATGGATTTTCATGGACTTTTCAGTGAAAGTTCGGTGCACAGTAGACTTGTCTCTTAATGAGGTCTTCATGAACAGTTGCTTTACAAGATTTTTTGTGTGGATTTTTATATTGAGCCACAGTTTATAGTGGTATTGTTTTTCGAATGCGCAAACCATCTACACTGTTGTTGCACCACTTTTGTTAATTTCAGTGAGACTTGTGCAGCTGCAGTTCCTCCCTTGCTCCTTTAGTTTTTGTCTGATATTGATGTTAGGAAAATTGCTCTTTATATATGTTGATGTTGCTTTTCAACAAAGATTTTACAAATTAATTTTTTTAAAAAAATGGAATCACAGTTATTCTGGGCATGTTGGACTGGATTTAGTCAGTCAAAGAGTCTGATAGTTCTCCAGCGCTGAATTTCCTTTTGGAGCTTTGTGCATAGGGCTCATGATCTCAGTAAGGCAAAACGTTTTCAGCCAGCAGTCTCCAAGGTATGTTTTGTATGTAATGCGTGGCACAGTTTGTGGGAACAAATGTCCCAAACTTGCTGCACTTCTAGGGAGTGAGAATAAGCCATGCAGTTTCCGTGCAGTCCCTTCCTTGACCCTAACTGAACCCTTTTCCCAGTGACCTAGCAGAGCAATTCCACGACGTAAAGCAGAACTAACGCTGACTGACTCTTCAATAGTTCAAGCATTAAAGCTGCAATCTACTATAGTTTCCAACAGATTTTCGAAGCCATGGTTTTGACCCAGGCGGTGTCGCAGTTCCTTGTCTACATTATATATTTAAAAGGATATTTTGACTTTCTAATGGGTCTAGGTTGCTTTGTGGACTTCTAAATTCATTCTTGACACGTGCTTTGTAACTTTTAACAAAGACCTCATGCAATATCACTTGGAAAGCTATTTTATGTTCTTGCACAGGCATTGTAATATATAACTGTTAATACTATTTATATATTTGAAAGGTATAAAAGGCAGTCATTAAAGCAAACCTCTGTATAGGTAGTTACTCAAAGCATTAACAACATAACAGGGAGATGATGTGTTGCAATACAAGCTAATTTTAGCTGCTCAGTAACCTCTGAAGTTTTTAAAGGGGCTTCTCCAAAATCAGTATTTGACATCCACAAATCTATAGCTGTATCCATTTTCTATATCCTTAAAAAATGTTGGCTTGCTGACTCTTCATACTTTATTTCTGTAGTATGCTGCAGCTTTAATCAACAATTCAGTAGGCGCTGGTTTATGTTCTTCAAATTGTCTTTTCAGATTTTTCTCTGAGACACTCTTGCTGAAATCAGTACATATATGTAATATTGGTCAATCTCTCATAAGGCTATTCATCTCTTTGACGGCATCAGCATTGGTGGTTTTTTTTAAAAAAAAAACACTTCAACCAAAAATTTAGTAGGTATTTTTTTCAATGCTGAATCTTGCCTTTTTTATTTTAAATTTCACTGTCAATTTTGCAGTGATTCTTCTTAGTGAATCTGTGGGCATTTTCGCCTGTGGTCTTGCCAGAACTTTAGCGAATTACAATGCATATATGTCTATTTATTCAATATTCATCATATTATATCTATTTGGAAAAAGAATTTTTTCTTGTAGTGCCTCTTAACAAAGCACAATTTTCCGCCTTTTTGTGAAGTAAAAGAAAACTAAAAAAAAAAATTGTGTTATTGCGGTATCAACAATGTGAATGAGGATTACCATATTGTAAATGTTCTTTTTCCATGTAAATCAACTTGATCTTTGTTATCACTAAGTGATAATTAAATTTTAACTTATGTGCATTGTTAGTCTGTTAGAATTTTTTGGTTGTTAAAATTAAACACATTCAGTAAATGACTTAATTTGTGAAATCATTTTTTGGGGTTCATCAGTTTTCCTTCCCATCTTCCTGAACTGATACAAGATCTAAAGAGTAAAAAAAAATTTTTTTTACAAATGTGATACAGGCTACAATCATCTTACTGATTTTTTTCCCCCAAAAGGATTGCAAGTACTGTAGGTTTTATGATATTTATATTAGAAGAGTGGAATGACTTTTCTGGTGCACATGGGCATTTGATGTTGCCAAAATTATGGATTTGAATGGTATCAAATCTCAGCCAAAACAGAAGACTGACTTATGGGTAGAAAGAACATTTGACCATTCCAAACTTTGATGCATTTTTGGAATGTGGTTATGTCTCTGTCCTTACTTGGTTTAGGATGAGCTCAGATATAGATATACTTGCTTCAGAAATGTGTGAATTTAGGGTTCAGTTGGCTTAGCCCGGTGATGCAAGATAGTTTTTCATATGCATACAAATAGATGAATTTGGGAATATGGCTGATTTGCTCCAATATGTCTCCTGGAAGCAGAAAGGCATCCCCCAAAAAAGGAAGGTAAAAGAATATAGCTTCAAGATAATTAATTTGTCCAATATTTACCTAAGATTTTTGCTTCATTCAACTAATTATAATCTCTCCTTTTCAATATTACAGAAACAAAAGTTGGCTCAAAAGCCAATTCAAACTTAAATCTTATAAAAATCAACACATGCAACAGAAGTTGCAGTTAACATCTTTAACGGTTGCATCTCCTCAAATGGGAACAAACGAAAAACAGCACAACAAACAGGCCTGTATATCAAACAAATCATAGCAATCACAATCCTCTTCTTTCACCCTCTTTTCCTGCTAAATTCCAATGATCACAAGGAAATGGCTGTTGGATCTTGTCCATCTCTTCTTTATGTGTAAGGGGAAGCCCATTAATATAAAAAGAAACCTGCTCTCAAAAATCTAGCTTCTTTGCAGCAATGGGCACTTCACCACCCTCCTTTGCTATTGATGCTGTGATGACAAAAAGCTAGGAAATGGGGTGGCAGAAAAATGCCTTAGATCCATTGGATTCCTCAGGCTCTTCTGTTCCTCAGGCTTCTCCAATATGGGTGAAAAGATGTGCAAATTTGGAAGTTGGAAAACTTAATTCTGTCCTGTTTCTGACAATGGGAGAAAGCCATAGCCACTTTTTTCCATGAAAGTAAACAACACTCAACACACTAAGATTTGCTTATGAGCAAACGTATCCTGTCTAGCACTGCTATCAAGCCTAAGATATTTGTTTTTCCCTACAAATTTTTTATCCTACATTAGGATAAAATAGACACCTCTGCAGTAGGTCCTCAGAGAGAGCAACAATAGCATCAGATTTCTTCCTAGGAACTCCATCTCTCAGTAACAAGCAAGCTCTCGGTTTCAAGATGGCATCATCCGAAAGTTGAATTTCATTTGGAAAGAATAACTTCCAATCATGGGCTAGGTTTGAGAGGAAGTATTTCTTAAGCACATCGTTTTGCCTTTTTTCCCCAGTTGCATGGGGTTTCAAATAGGTCCTTGAGCTTTTCAATTAGCAATACACAATATAGGAACAATTAATCAATTGTAATTCATTTATCATAAACATGAAAAATTGCCTGGAGGTATAGTCTTACTGAATTGCCTAGTATCACAAAGTTGACAAGGCTCTTCAAAGAACAGATCATCCACTGAAATTTGCTGTTTGTAAACTTCAAAACAATCCAAACAAGCAACTGATTTGAATCTGCCATGTACTTTATCAATTCACAAAGTTGGGGGGGGGGGTTGGGGGGGGGGAAATGCAGGAAAGCACTCTGAAAAACCATATGGGCACTTATTACAAATTTTTGAATGTGATCATTTGGTAGGCTATTGTGGCAGAAATATTTTTATTAATGCTGCTTTTTCACCATATTTTACCTGCTGCTGTTGTCTCTTGTCAAACATATTTGAGTCTCACAGACATATGTATTTCCATTTTAAATTGAATGTGAGTGGAAAAAATAAACATAGAAGTGTTTTTTTTCTTAATTATGGCTGTGAACATACTGTCTCCCTGCCCCCCCCCCAAACCTTTAATGCATTATTAGTTTTGTACCACTTTGCAAATACAAAGAAGAATGAATGAAAACATTCTGAAGTGATCACTTTAGGAACTCTGACACACACTTGCCAAATTTTGTAGACTGACTGGATCCATGAGTGGGAGAAAAATCAACTTCCAAACACATCTTCTAATCTCCACTTAGAATACACAACAGTGATAAAAAAAACAACAACCCCCAAACAAATCAAGCCTATATTAACACATGTGAAGAAAAATAGTCTTGTCTTCCAGTTTACAGGAAGACAAAACTGATGGGAGCTTGATGCAAAATACCCAGCAACT